AATACAATATAATGGTCATTGGCCTCCGGCCTCATCTCATACATATCAAATACATTGAAAGGAGTGTACTTAAGTACACATTACATACATAGAATCAAATATACATATTTTGACATATAAGTCTACAAAATGACATTTCATGCTAACATTTGCATGAAATGGAAACTTGAAAGCTACACGACATCCAAGGAATGCTAGGCGTCACGAACCAAGTCTTCGTACCTGAAATATGCCCCAGTATCGTAGGGGTGAGTAACATAAAGCTACTCGTAGGAGATGAGCACGCATCGACCTAGCATTTTACAAATTTATCACCTTAAGGTGAAACATGTTAAAGGGGCTCATGCCACCTAATGTCTATGTCCAACTGAGACTCGGGGAGCATCCTAAGCTACCTTAGAGTCTAAGCAACAAGAATCATGATATACATACGTGTATGAAACGAATTATGGTTGGGATAATCTAAGAACATGACAAGAAAAATGCTTGAGCATAGATTAACATGAATTGCATTTTCAATACAATTGAACTAGGTCTAGAGTAATCCATATAACATGACAAAAGCATATTTGAATACAAGTTAACAAGAATCATATTATCCATGCAATTCAACAACAAAAGAGTATGTTATACAATGCAATAAGGTATAAGTTCTCAAAGCCATCAACTTAGAATCTAAAGCACAAAATAACAGTGGTGGTTCATGCCACCTAACGTCTAAGTTCTAAATGAATCAATAGGATCAATCCTAAGCTATGTTAAAATATCAAAACACAATTTTCATTATTGATGTAATTTAACTAACATTGGGACTTCCAATACAACGCATAAAGCACAATTTCGCAAGGTTAACATCATGTAACTTAAAATGAAACGACAAATAAGGAATAACAAGTTACATCATCTAGTTATTAACTTGAAAATGAAATGCGAAGTTAAACAAAGTGGATACTCGGACGTCACGCCGGATCAGACCGACAACATAGTTACTTTAGGGTTACTAGCCCAGGGGTAACCTCCCTATGTGCGCACTAGACTATATAGAGGGACTATCCCCCGTACTAAAACCACGTCCTAGCCATAGCCAAACAATGACATCCCCAAGTTTCCAAAATCAACAAGTTGTGCAACAACGCATATATCAACAGGAATATGTAAGATAATCAACTATCTACCAAGCACAACCAAATTTGGAAACCTATACAATACATGCTCTAAGTCCACAACTAATATGATGTGATGAATGTCGAATCTTCAGTGTGCGATTCGTTACACGCTATGCATGAATGATGTTAAATATGAAATGTGCAAATCATTACACAAGGCAACAGTGTATTCAATAAGGAAAACATATTCTTATGAGTATAAACATAGCAACTATGTTATCCAATGCTCAAAACATAACCAAATGGATATACAATAAATCCATGTCCAGGATTTTGATATAGAAACGACTTTCAAACACAATTAAATCCATGGCTCAATTCGATAGAATTTAATTAAATAAAAACAATTAAATTCCCTAAATTCTAATTCAATTCCAAATAATCTCAAATTAATACATATTAAAGAACATGGCATGGTCATCACCTATATCCATTCTAAAACTCAATTAGGTTTTTGGAACAACAAAGTAGAACTCTAATTAAATCATGCTAATTTAATTACCAAGGTTGTAAAGCAACTTCAAATGGTCCACAATTAATATATACTAGTAAACAAGTCATGGCCAATACAAATATCAAGTTAAAATCTTAATTATGCTAATTGGACCACAAAATAGATTTTAATTAATTCTTTTAATTAAAATCTCTAGATTTTCAAACTTAACCAAATATTCTCAATTTAACATATCTTAGAGAACATGCCAAGGACTAATGTAATATCACATTACAAGCTTATTTCATGCAAGTTACACCTATGTAAATTAAACTTTCACTAAAGTTAAATATAAAATAAAGGTTGCAATTCTCATGTAATTAATCACAATTTAATATATGTGAACAACCACATCAAAGCTTAATTTTCTAGCATACCACAATTCAATTCCAAGTTGTACATCACCATGAGGATTAAATCTTGAACAAGGATATTAATTAAATGAAAGGTTTCAAAACCTCACCGAATATTCTAAATCAAATATATGTGAAGCTATATGGCATGTAGATCAAGAATATCAAGTCGGAATTCAAATGGAGTGAATAGTGCACTCGGGGCAAATTAATTTATCAAATTAATTAATAATTACTAATTTTTAAAACACCTCCAATTACTTTCAAATTCAACTATGTTGAAGAGCATGCTAAGGCCTAATATAATATGCTAACACATATTAATTTCAAGCTAATTAAGGCCATGTGAATTAATCTTTCACCTAAGATAAATATTAAATAAAATCTTTAATACTTATTCAAATGTTCCAATTTTAATACACGACAATGAGCATATCAAGGGGCAATATAAAATCATGCTATATGTTTAAACCAAGTCATGAGCAACTGAGAAAATTAGATCCCGTACAAGAAAAATAAATAATAAAATCTTAGATTTTATATTTAATCATGCAAAGAAATAGTATAAGCATCACAAACATGCTATATAACAAGAATTTAAACTTAGAACATCTCCTACCTCAATTTGAGATGAAAATCCCAAAGGCCCACCAAAATTAAAGTGCCCTGAATTCGACGAAATCGAGAGGTTTTATCGGGGACAACACCGTGAACAAGAATCCGCAAGAAGCCCTATGAAAATCTCAACTTGACTCCAAACCCGAACTCAAAAAATCGTCGGAAATGGATTCAAATAAGGGCAAAAGGTAGAGCACGTCGAGGGAAGCAATAAATGCTAAAACCGAAGGATTTATACCAAGGAAAAGTGAACCAAAGGAGGAGAGAGAAAGTGGCATCCATGGCTGCTAGGAAATCCGGCCAAGAGAGATGGGGAAGATGGCCAAAATCTGATTTTTCACTTTAGGGCATCCTATTTATAGTAAGTCTCAAAAACTGTCCCGAAAGGGTCCCGCCGGGTCCGAAAAAGTGAATTTTGAGCAGATGAGCTCAAACGGCAAAACTCCATGAACAAAAAAGATTCAAAATGAGAAAATATGAACAACGGAAGAAACGGTGTCAAAAACTGGGTCCCGAACAGAAAGTTATACCCTAAACAAGTTCGGCGGCAACCGGGTCAGAAACTCTGAAACTGGAGAAAAATGACCAGAAGGAAATTCTAAGAGTCCACGACTCGACGAAATGTGAAAATGAATCCCATACGAGAATCCAGGCCCCAGACGAGACATTTTGCAATAACTTTCATTAATTGCACAATGACCCCTACAAAAAAGGGTTAACTGCAAAACTGCCCCAGAATGAAAATATCTTCCAAAAGATATTTTCTTAGCTACCCCTGAAATAAAATATCTTCAAAAGATATTTACGAAAAACACCCCAAGAAATGAAAAAGATTCTAAAGAATTGTGCATTCATGCCCCTGTGGGCACCGGGAGCAATCAGAGTACTTTCTTGCAAAACTAAAGATACGTATTTCGAGGAAACCACTCAAGATGAAGGCACGTGAAGCCAAAAACCAACTCCGAGCATGAGAAGTGAGGTTATGCCAAAAACTGACAAACAGAGATAAGACGAAATAGGGAAAATGACAAAATAGGGAAAAGACGAAATAGCGCATAGTGTCCAAAAACTAAAAATGCGAAAATGACTCAGTCCTCAAAGGAAGTTGTCAATTCACATGAAAGAGTCTCGGAAACCAATTCTGAGCACTCGAGATGACACTAAGCGACACGAAACAGAGCGCAGAAAAGAAAATTAAACGAAAAAAAATTCATTCGTAAAATTTCAAGAAAAAGGAAAGGAAGGCAAATGACCGGGTCGTTACACTAACCATGATCCTAAGACTCATTCATATCATGGCACATAACCATATGTATATAAAAATTCATCTTGTCTAAAGCATAAAATAAAATAAAATCCATTACACCAACAAGCCTGTGGCCTAACGGAACAAGGCTCCTACTTCCCAAAAGGAAGTAAAGGGTTCGAACCTCAGTAGAGGCAGTGTGTGTGAGTCCCAACTAAGAAAACAAATAAATAAATAAATAAAATCCATTATGCATCCAATTAATTTAATGGCCTGACATGAAAATAAGGAGGACTTAACTTTCTAGTTAATCCATTCCCTTATAAATCTAAATAGGTAGGACTTAACCTTTATCAATTAATCCGTCCCTAAGATGCCACCATCCCATACTGGTGCATTACATACATTCAATCCTATAATTGATGAAATAATTAAAATAATACATCAATTAAATCCGAATAATATGCATAATAAAAATCAAATAATTAACTGAGCATATTATACTGTTGATACATGATTAAAATTTTATAACCATACATAGAAAATTACTAGAATAAAAGTAAGCAATTTAAAACACCCATAATCAATAATAGTATGCAAATTTATTTTAAAATTTCATATTGTTCAAGTCCATAGCATATTACGGGAGATTATGCATTCTGGGATTTTTCCATGTCCATTTAAATCATTTAAAGTAATTAAAATGGAACAATACACATTATGGGCAAAATAACCAAGAAACCCAAATCACAGCTAAAACTACCCTCAATATAGTCGACTGTGCCCTCAACATAGTCAACTATACGTAGTCTTCTATGCCTTCAAGATAGTCTACTGTACATAGTCGACTACTACTTCAATGTGCCCTTCAATATAGTCGACTATGCGTAGTCTACTATGTCCTTTAATATAGTTGACTACTTCTTCCTATAACACCTTTGTTTTTCAGTCCAACCTCCATTGATAATAATTCTAACCTTCAATCTAAGTCCCATACTCTCATAATAATTTATTTTAGATGTCTTAACATGTAAAGATCAAACTTAAATTGTCACGCCCCGAATTTTTTTCTAAATAAATTCCTCAAATTCAAATCAAAATACATCAATTGTACACCCAGGATCTCAAAAGAAATAAAATATCCTTTATTGATACAACAATCAAGTTTCTCAATTAAATATACAAAAATCTCTAAATAATTAAATAAAAATCCTCAACACCAACTCTTCCACCTAAGCCCGCTACTAGCAATCCAAGTTCATCCTCGATACCTGAAACTGTAGGGGGGTGAGATGGGGAAGTCTCAGTAGAAAAATATAACAAGAATTTTAAAGGGGTTTCATGAAAATTAGTCTCACAAAATATATATATATACTTTTAAACAAAATACATATATGCAATTTTAACAAGATAGCATTAACAAAATATTTGAGATAAAAATCACCCCAAACGATTCAAGGTATGAAAATCCCTACCTTGTAAAATAAATAAATCATTCGTCAGATAATCAAAAAAGCCTCAAGGCTCTCTGCCTCTGTGCAAAACTCTTGGCACTCTCTTCAATATTGCTTTCCTTCTGTATCCTTACCAAACAGATACAATATATAGGTAATTTCCATGGACACAATTTACACAACACACCATAAAATTTTATCACTTTTGGTGACAAATATCTAATGGGTCCCTCGAATACAATTGTATATTACCTTTTCAATTTTGCTTTCTCTTTCTATGTCGGCTAGTCTCTTCTTTCTCTTTCAACTTCTATCTTATCCCAATTTATCTTTCCTTTCCTTATCTGATTCATTGCATTCTTTAAACCAACAATACAATCTCTCAAAACCCACGTGAAGGCAAAACAACCCACAAATGGGCCCACCAAAAATCAGCATTATGATTTCCATTTTCAACTCTCTAAACTCGACTGGTGCATCTCCTCTGCATGATACACCAAAAATATATATAAATTATATATATACAAAGTAAACAATTCCAAACCCATCATTTATCTTCAAGTGAGACCCACTATTTATCATCACATTCCTTTATCTTATTCCATCACATTATATATATATATATATATATATCTCTAATACATATACAATGCATACACTTTTGTAACAAATATCAAACCCACTGACTTTTCTCTCTTCCCATTTCTTTTCTTTTCCTTTTTGTTTTTTTTTTCGTTCTCCAATCTCTCGGCTAGTCCCTTTTGCTACTACAATCAGAGGGGCAAAATATATCATATATATGCATATGCAAACTAAATCAATTCAAGTGGGACACGCACCCACCAATTTTTCTTTCTTCTAATTTTCCCACTATTGGTTCCTCATTTCGGCAGTGCACTCCTCAACAGAAGCACCAAATATATATATTTATATAATATATATACAATGTGACAAAAATTCAATCAACCTACAAATATTTTTTTTTTCTTTCTTTCTCTGAATTCGGCTACAGCATCACCATTTGATGCCTCCAACATATGATATATATACATACATATATACGCATACAAAAGTCAAATCTAATAAACTATAAGTCTCTAATTAAAATTAAGAATCACTCTCCAATTGATATGTTTCTGTAATGACCCGGTCATTTGCCTTCCTTTCCTTTTTCCTGAAATTTTACGAATGAATTTTTTTTTCGTTTAATTTTCTTTTCTGAACTCTGTTTTGTGTCACTTAGTGTCATCTCAAGTGCTCGGAATTGGTTCCTGAGTCTCTTTTCTGTGGATTGATAACTTCCTTTGAGGATGGAGTCATTTCTGCATTTTCACTTTTCGGACACTATGCGCCTTTCGTCCTTTTCCCTATTTCATCTTTTTCCCTATTCTGTCTTTTCGCCATTTGTCACATTGTTGGCACAACCTCACTTCTCATGCTTGGAGTTGGTTTTTGACTTCACGTGCCTTCATCTTGAGTGGTTTCCACGAAATACGTATCTTTACTTTTGCAAGAAAGTACTCTGGTTGCTCCCGGTGTCCATAGGGGCATGGATGCAATGTTTTTTGAAATTATTTTCTTTTCTTGGGGTGTTTATCGTAAATATCTTTTGAAGATATTTTATTTTAGGGGTTTTTAAGAAAATATTTTTGGAAGATATTTTCATTCTGAGCCATAAGTGCAGTTTTCACTTTTTGAAAGGGCCATTGTGCAATTAAAGAAAGTTATTGCAAAATGTTTTGTTTTGAGCTTGGATCCTCGTACGGGATTCATTTTCACATTTCGTCGAGTTGTGTACTCTTGGAATTTTCTCCTGGTCGATGTTTTCCAGTTTCAGGGTTTTTGGCCCCAATTTTCAACAAAATTGTTTTGGGCATAACTTTTTGGTCAGGACTCAGTTTTTGACGCTGTTTCTTCCGTTGTTCATATTTTATCATTTTGAATCTTTTTCATTCACAAAGTTTTGCCATTTGAGCATGTCTGCTCAAATTTTACTTTTTCAGACCCGGCGGGGCCCATTCGGGGCACTTTTTGAGATTTCTATAAAAGGGGGGTGAGATATTTCATTTTTCATCTTCTCCCCTCTTCATGCACGACCTGGAGCTCCCATGGCAGCCCAAGGGGTGCTGCCATCTTCTCTCTCCTTTTTTGGTTCACTTTTCCTTGATGGAAAGTCTTCGGCCTTAACGTTTGTTGTTCCCCTCGCCGTGCTCTACCTTTCCCCCTTATTAGAATTCAGTTTTGACCATTTCTTGAGTTTGGTTTTGAGGTCAAGTTATGATTTTGATGGGGCTTTGATGGGGTTATGTTCACGGTGTTGTCCCCGACAAAACCTCTCGGTATCGTCAAATTCGGAGCACTTTTTTTTGGGTGGGCCTTTGAGATTTTAATCTCAAATTGAGGTAGGGGATGTTTAAGGTTTAAATTCTTGTTATATAGCATGCTTGTAATGCTTATACTACTTGTTTGCATGATTAAATATAAAATGTAGAAATTTTATTATTTATTTTTCTTGTACGGGATCTAATTTTTCCGGTTGCTCATGACTTGGTTTAAACATGTAACATGATTTTATATTGCCCCTTGAAATGCTCATTGTCGTGTATTAAAATTGGAACATTTGAATAAGTATTAAAGATTTTATTTAATATTTATCTTAGGTGAAAGATTAATTCACATGGCCTTAACTAGCTTGAAATTAATATGTGTTAGTATATTATATTAGGCCTTGGCATGCTCTTCAACATATTTGAATTTGAAAGTAATTGGAGATGTTTTGAAAATTAGTAATTATTAATTAATTTGATTAATTAATTTGCCCTGACTGCACTATTCACTCCATTAGAATTCTGACTTGATATTCTTGATTTACATGCCATATAGCTTCACATATATTTGATTTAGAATATTCGGTGAGGTTTTGAAACCTTTCATTTAATTAAATTCCACATTTAAGATTTAATCCTCATGGTGATATACAACTTGGAATTGTATTATGGCATGCTAGAAAATTAAGCTTAGGTATAGTTGTTCACATATATTAAATTGGGATTAATTGCATGAGAATTGCAACTTTTAATTTATATTTAACTTTAGTAAAAGTTTAATTCACATGGTCTTAAATTGAATGAAATAAACTTGTAATGTGATATTACATTAGTCCTTGGCATGTTTTCCAACATAGGTTAATTTGAGAGCATTTGGTTAAGTTTGAAAATCTAAAAATTTTAATTAAAAGAATTAATTAAACTCTATTTTATGGTCCCATTAGCTTAATTAAGGTTTTAACTTGATGTTTGTATTGGCCATGACTTGTTTACTAGTATATATTAATTTGGGACTATTTGAAGTTGTTTTAGAACCTTGGGATTTAAATTAGCATGATTTAATTAAAGTTCTACTTTGTTGTTCCAACAACCTAATTGAGTTTTAGAATGGATATAGGTGATGACATTGCCATGCCCTTTAACATGTATTAAATTGAGGTTAATTGAAATTGAATCGGAAATCTAGAGAATTTAATTGTGTTTATCTATTTAAATTCTATCAATTTGCTCCATGATCTAGTTGTGTTTTAGAAGTGGTTTCTACATTCAAATCATGGACTTATACTTGTTGTATATTCATTTGGTTATGTTTTGAACATTGGATAACATAGTTGCTGTGTTTGTATTCATGAGAATATGTTTTTTATTGAATATAGTATTGCCTTATGTAATGATTTGTACACTTCGTGTTTAACATCTTTCATGCATAGCGTGTAACGAATCGCACACTGAAGATTCGACATTCATCATATCATATTAGTTGTGGAATTAGAGCATGTATTGCATAGGTTTCCAAATTTGGTTGTGCTTAGTAGATAGTTGATTATCTTGCATATTCCTGTTTATATATGCGTTATTGCACAACTTGTTGATTTTGGAAACTTGGGGATGTCGTTGTTTGACTATGGCTAGGACGTGGTTCTAGTACGGGGGATAGTCCCTCTATATGGTCTAGTGCGCACATAGGGAGGTTACCCATGGGCTAGTAACCCTAAAGTAACTATGTTGTCGGTCTGATCCGGCGTGACGTCCGAGTATCCATTTTGTTTGATTTCGCATTTCATTTTCAAGTTGATAACTAGATGATGTTGTAACTTGTTGTTTCTCATTTGTCGTTCCATTTTAAGTTATAGGATGTTAACTTTGCGAAATTGTGCTTTATGCGTTGTATTGGAAGTTCCAATGTTGGTTAAATTGCATCGATATTGAAAATCATGTTTTGACGTTCTAATAAAGCTTAGGATTGATCCTATTGATTCATTTATAACATAGATGTTAGGTGGCATGAACCACTACTGTTATTTTGTGCTTTAGATTCTAAGTTGATGGCTTTAAGAACTTAAACCTTGTTGCATTGTATAACATGCTCTTTTGTTGTTGAATTGCATGGATAATGCGATTCTTATTAACTTGTATTCAAATATGCTTTTGTCATGCTGTATGGATTACTCTAGACCTAGTTCAATTGTATTGAAAATGCAATTCATATTAATCTATGCTCAAGTATCCTTCTTGTCGTGTTCTTTGGATTATCCCAACCATGATTCATTTCATACACGTATGTATATTATGATTCTTGTTGCTTAGACTCTAAGGTATCTTAGGATGCTCCCCGAGTCTCACTTGGACATAGACGTTAGGTGGCATGAGCCCGTTTAACATGTTTCACCTTAAGGTGATAAATTTGTAAAATGTTAGGTCGATGCATGCTCATCTCCTACGAGTAGCTTTATGTTACTCACCCCTACGATACTGGGGCATATTTCAGGTACGAAGACTTGGTTCGTGAAGCCTAGCATTCCTTGGATGTCGTGTAGCTTTCAAGTTTCCATTTCATGTAAATGTTAGCATGAAATGTCATTTTGTAGACTTATATGTCAAAATATGTATATTTGATTCCATGTATGTAATGTGTACTTAAGTACACTCCTTTCAATGTAATTGATATGTATAAGACGCGGCCAGAGGCCAATGACATGTATATTGTGTTCTATGTACTTTTTAACTTCATGAAATATTGTGAAAATCTTGAAAAATCGCAAGTTATTGCTTCACCATGGTTGCATCAGGTGTGAGAATTC